GCCTAAACGCCACCCTCCCACCACGTTGAGGTGGTAGACCGTCGGGGGACCTCCTTCTATAGCTCAGTACAAAATTATATTCCTTTCGCTAAGGATAGTCTCTAGGTATAACTTAGATCGGCTGCTCTTCTTTTTCTGCGCTATAGCGCTCAGTGGTGGATAAGAGTAGTCCCCCTCAACTACATTTTCATAGAGTTTTCTGATTGGAAACTTTTTGGCGAAAGAGTTTTGAATCCCGCTTAACGTTTTTGTATGCTAGTTTTCACTTTGAGGAGCAGAATCATCCCCAAATTGCTAAGTTCTGGCAAAAGAGATGAAAAGACCCGGGGATAAACGCTAACCCTCCGCATTTTCATCCAGGTACCTTGTTTATGTGCTATGATGATGATACAATGTGTACCCTTTCTCAAATGTAACTTCCCAACGATGGATGTAAGTACTATAATGCAGTCGGAGAGTATGCATATGTATATTGCAAAATTCGATTACTCGATAGAAAAAAAAACAGGTTTTGTTCTGTAGATATCCGAGAGTAACCTACAAGTACAGAATCTGACTTCACACACTTGATTAGGTTTGTCATCGACTACTATGTAGGGCGATGAAAAGCAAGTACGTTTACGCAGGGAGTAAGGCCATTTGCATATTGTTATGCTCTCGTTGCCACTACCCTTCCAACTCCTTTTACCTCACAAAAAAAAAACGAAGCAGTCATTATAGATGGGTAGTGTCTGCATACCATAATGACCGTCTGTAAAAAAGTTTTTTCGGCCCGCACACAATTTGATTCCCTTTTTGGCCGTTGCAAACATCATTTGTATAGAATGGCTAATTTCCTATCATCATTGACTGAATACATCGCAATTCACTTGAACTTATTTTTATTTGATAGATCCTCCTAAAAACTTTAATATTTCGACCACGGTTCTCCACCGCACGTTTTCTGCGTCCTCAAGTTAATAAAGGCGAATAATTGAAATTTGAAAAGGAAATTCACTACAACATTTAACTAATTATGAATGATAGTAAATAATATCATTCCCTGACTCTTCATATAAGTAGTAAATAAATACACGAGTGAGTGAAACCACACTTCCTGCCTCTTGGGTTTTCCAGACAACTGTATTGTTTGGAACCTTTCTGGCTGTCTGGAGATGTCCAATTATAAACGGAGCTTCATAGCCATTTTCCTATTCAACCTGATCCTTTCCAATTTTTCATATGTTTGCATTTGTTTACATTCAAACGTCTAGGGTCACACGAACATTCTCACTGTTTGCTTTGGTCTCAGGTTCGAGAAGAGGAAGGTGACGTATCGAATAATAATTTATCATCGCGGGTACGGCTCATTTTTTGCGTGAAATATTCTGTAAAACCATCTTTTGTATCAAACGTCGTCTCTCTGATCATCGATTTCATCGCGCGGGCGCCAGGAACGTCACCACTCGTCCGTGTCGCGGGCCAAAGTTGTCAGCGGATCGCCCTCGCTCGAGGGGCACGAGGCGTAGCATTCCTTCCGGTTAGCGTTTTTGTGAAGAAAGCCGACCATCGCGCTGTCGGCCGTCCTTGTGTCGTTTGAAGTCTCGAATAATCCAATTGGTAACCGCCGTGGTCCAACGGTCATCCAATATCGCCTGACGTGTCCAGCCCACCTGTTTCGTGGGCAACGGCATTTCTGACCTCCGTTCCTTGACGGAGCTCGGAACTCCGGATTCCTTTCTGCATTTGCGTGTATAGGGAAATTTCGCCTATCGTCCTTTTCACAGCTTGTAAACCATATGCTTACAATAATATTATTATAATTGTACGGTCCAATGTTGTATTAGCCCCATATGCATCACTTGGTCGTTTAACTGCTATGGTAATTGACGCGTTGTGAGGAATTTCTCCATGTCGGAAATTTTACCGGGTTTTTTAGTTTTATTTTGAACAATACATTGAATTCAGTCGTAGAACTATCTCGCAAATCTGTGTTGCATTATCGCTTGTGAAATAGGCTATTCTACCACTCATCTATTCAATTATCCTAGCTGTAGTAAAAGTTCTTTTCGAATGCAGCTCGTCTTTTTTTATCTCCTCTCAGTTCACCTATGTTTTGTTGACCGGAATGATCAGATTTATGTCTTCGAATACGGCAGATATTTATACCTTCCCCTTCCTGGTTCGTGATCCTCTTCACAACGATGCTGCTTAGAAATTTTCCACTCTCTGAATCTTAGCGTATGGTCGTAGTTTCCGTTTTCGTGAATAGCTCTTTCTCTACCTCTTCCTCATTCAGAATTCACAGCTGATTTTGGCTAGATTAGGTGGAACCGCATGTCTGAATGGCAAAAGTTGTTGTTTTTGGCCTGGAAACGTGTCCAGAAAATTCAGAAAAATATGAGAATTTCTTTAAAACCTCGTGTTTTGAGTGGAAAGAGAGGTAAGTGATTTTGTCCGCTGTACACATATGATGTCAGACATTTGTGTGTATTCATATGATTCATGAGAGCGGACTGATGTTTAGTGATTTGGATATAGGAGTGGGAGGAGGGGTTATTGAAGTGACCAAGACAGTTTAGACCGTTTTTTCCCGTTTCTATACACCGTATCCCTTTATTTCTGATCTATTTAGGCCGTATATCGCATCGCCTTTCATGCCAATTGCTACACCGCTTGCCATTCCACTGGAACGTCGAGCACCAAGCTCCCCGAAGGAAGCGAAACGAAATTTGGCCTATGGCAGTGATCGACGTGCTGACGAAGGGCTTTTGGTCGACGGAGAACAGCACGCAACGAGTAGCACTGATGAGTGAGTTTACATCGTTTTTACTCCAGAAGTACTCACTGATCTATGGATTTCTGACGGTTTTTCGTATACCCTTGCTAGATGTGATCAACCCAGATTTTCCCTTACCGTTCCGATTAGATCAAGCATATTAGTTGAACGAACGTACGGATAAACACCTTCCCAAGGTAACCACAATGAATCACCTTCAGCAAGAGCCGGTTCACCGATCTGTTGCCTGTTCTTGTACATTCCTTCGTCTCTTGATCTCATTGTCAGATGAAGGAGTGAAGGAGCAGGGTCTCCTTTTGAAACTACCGCCAGGGAGGCAATTAGATTTTGGCAGTGCTTTCGAGATGGGAAAACCTGAGAATTGGCAACTTCTGAAAATTTGCTTATAAATCAGGCCCACCTTGTCATTTTCGAAGAGTGATACAGCTTATATAATTCTCAATGGTATCTGCTTATTTTAAAGGCACCGTTAACATAATTTTGGGTAATCCAGATTGTGATGAAAAACGAAAGACAAGATCGAAACTAGTGCGACTGAGGTGAACAAACTGCGTGCATCGGTGTTTCATAGTGAAAAAAGGCTTCGAAAAAACGTTAAAAAGGGGGCTGGACGTGAATGAAACCAGAAAAATGAAGAAGGGTGGGGCGTCCGGACGAGCTAAATAGTGTGTTTCACTGCGCGCGTGTGGGTCCTGGAACAGGCAATGGTAAGTAAAAATTCATACACTTATAAGCATAAATAAACAAAAAAACCCCAGTAACAGCAAAAGTAGCTCACCTTTTTCAGCCTCTAGGAGTAGGAAATTAAATAAGGGATCGCGGCAGCAAAAAGAAAAACAGAGGAAAAAAGAATGGGAGAAAAACATCGCCTCATCACTCGGCGAATAGCTGTTTGTGCGTGGGTCCTAGAACGAATAATAGCAATCTGTTTTGTCTCGACACTCGTCTAACGTGACACCGATCGAGGGAAGGAAACGCGAACTACGGCAACAACGGGGCTGCCACTATGCCCTG